CTGTAGGAGCAGGACTGCTTAGTGGGAGGGAATAGCGGGCCCTGGACGCCTCTCCAGGGCACCAGAGGCGAGAGGCTGTTCGCTGGCAGTGCCTGCTCCGTCATATGTGGAAGGAGCTTGTTTGATGTCAGCTTGTCTTGGGGTGAATTTGTTCCGTTGTCAGGCGGAGGAGGGGTGGAGGACTGGTGCTGATTGTTAGATACAGGAGCGAGGGGGCTCTGGGTACAAAGGGAATAAGACGCAGACGGGGTGGCACATTGTCCTTCCCCTGCAAATGGTCAGAACTGCTGTGTGTTTTTCCTGGGGAGCTGTGTGTGTGTGGTGGGGGGGGGGGGGGGGGGGGAGGCAAAGAGAAACTTACCTCAAGACAAGGTGTCATTTTTTTATCGCTCTTGAAATTAAAAGTTTCTGGAAGTTTCTAAAATTCAAGTTTGGAAATGACCTTGTGGGTCCAATGGCAAAGCTCTCTGCCCTCTGCACAGGGGACGGAGCTCAGACCTGATTGTGGGCGTTCTCTGGAAAGTAGCCTTTCACAAAACCACCTTCTGCTACCTGCAAAGCGAGGGCGAGACAGAATCCAATGGACATGAGAACAGGAGATGCACAGATAAGAAGACAGCAGAGCCTGGGGAATGAGTGGCCATCCAGACCAAGAGGAGGATTCGTGATGACAGGATGACAGGTGGGGATGGGATCCAGAGAGGTCAACACAGAAGAAGGAGCAGGCTTGGCGATGCAGGGCCGGAGAGGAATTCGGTCTGGGAAATATCAGATGCTGCGTATTAACTAGAAATTCTAGAAATTTATAGAGACCTTTACTCTGAATTGGAGAGTTTTTCTTGGCAAATTGAGGGTTTAATTAATTGAATATTTTATTACTAGGGATCATGTTCAATTTCACACGAAGGTTTGCAGTGGAAGAATGCTATAAAGTGTCAAGACGCTGTTTTTACTCAGGTCAGGAGAAAATAAATCCCAGTCCAGCGCCAGCATAGTTATTGCAGCAGAGGCCCCGTGATTCTCTGCTCCGTATGCTGATGGGGGGGTAAATGTGAAGAGAGACGTGAGCCTGCATCACAGGAGACAGACGTGAGTGCTCATTCTGGAGCCCTAACACCAGCTCCCCCCGCAGCTGCACGGCCACGCAGCCAGCTGTGTGATTCCTGCGCCCGCCATCAGCCTCCCTGGGCGGCCTCATTCTCTCGCTTGTGAAATGAGGTTGGATATCAGAAGCCTGGCCAATACTGCAGTTAGGCGATTCTGAGAGAGAAAAGAGAAGGACAGTACTTTTGTGTTTGTTTCTGAGTAAAATTTCATAAAATGAATACTTAAAACACAGAAACACATTCCGTGTGGTAGCAAGGTCTGCCGTCGCACAGGTGTTTTCCTGCAGCCCATTCGGAGGCGGCCGCGGATGACAGCGGAAACGATGACAGGCTTGAGAAGTCTCACCCCAGCCCTGCCTTTGCTGCCAGCGCTGGCCCCCTGCAGCTCTGTTCACAGTGTAATTCGCTGCCTGGCTCCGAAAGGTGGGTTGCCAGGTGTCCTTTTCATTTTCCAGGCAGTTCCATATTTGTGCTTTCTGTCTGGTTAAACCAAGGACGCTTTCATGATATGATATGAAGAGAAAAAAAGCCAACAGGTTTGGTGTAAGACACGCCTGGCATTGGGCTGAAGAGGTGTATTACATTTATGACACTCAGTTTCCTCACCTGTAGCCAGAGGGTAATGGAGCCCGCCTCCCAGGGTTCTGACGAGGACTGAGTGACCTCTCCCTGGGGAGAGCATCATGCACGCTGCCCAGCACCCAGCAGGTGCCCAGCCAGTGGGACTGCCCACCGTGGTGGAGGCATGAGCCATGCACTTTTCTGCCCGTGCGAGGCCTCCGTGGGTGAGAGAGGGAAGGTCTGGCTCGTGGCCATCTCTGTGAGAATATCTGTAAAACGCTCCTGGAGCACCTTGCCACTCTCAGGCGATCTCCCGCCTTCTTTCCTGCTTCACCGATGACGGCTTGTTCCTTGAAGAAGCGGAGAGGGACAAAGAGAAACTGAATCTAGGAGACTCTGGTGGGGCCACCGTTCCAGGGAGGCCCATAAAAGAGTGAAGGTGACTGAGAGGGCAGAAGAGGAGGGTCCAGAGAGAATGATGGGGAATGGGGGAGGGGTTGCAGCTCAAACATAAAGAAAACGCCACTACTCTTGGCAGCCCCTTATCGTACCTTGCACTAGGGACTAGGGAGCGTCTTGGGAATGCCAAAGCAGGAAGGTCAAGGTGTTTCGTAGACATTTCCAGTTCTGTCTCTGAGGCTATAGAGTCCGATGAAATAAACAAACTAAGATATCTTTTTCATGCAGGCACATTTCATTATTCTTGTGGTGATTTTGCTGACTGTGTGGCCGATAAGGATGTAGGTGGCTATAAAGGAAGTATTTTTCTTGAGGTTTATAATAAGCAGTCCATGAAACTGGGCCAGAGAGAGAGAGTGTGTGCTGTGGAGGTTGCTCTGGGAAGGGAGGGCCTAGCTCTCACGGCTTCTCTTCCCAGCCCTGCCTCATCCTGCAGAGCCCTGTGGAATATGCTGTTAGAGCTCTCTCCCTCTCTCTCTGCTAGTCTCTGGAAATTGGGATTGCCACCAACTTTCACTGGGTGCGAGGACAGCAAGATGATTCAAGCAATAGTGCCCTGCTCGGAGGAGATGCCTAGGTGACGTGCTGATAACGAATGCCCACGGAAGAGGAGGATCTGGTTTTCTCATAGCTGCCGTCAGTCCCGTGGTTGCAGATAGGTGGAAAAGATATCAGATAAAGTGGACCCAGACTTCCCTAATGAAGGCCCATACAGTATCACCGTGAAGCTCTGGGTGCCTCTGTCACCGGCAATGCCAGTTGTACTCCCAGGGGTGCGGTCTGGGGGCTCCCTTCTTCAGCTGCAGAGCTGTACTCCTCAGAAAAGGATGGAGAGCCACGTGTACCTGGTATTCCTGAGCATAAGTTCCCCCAACAGAGCTGGATCGGGCAGATTTCTGGTCACTGGGCCACCAGGCAGGGTTTCTAGGGCCGGCAGTCCCTGCTGCCTCCTCTCCCCTCCCGGCCTCAGGTGCGGTGATGCCTCTGCATTGGCCACCAGAACGGTTGATCCTTGAATCTACTGAGACTGTTCCAATTTGCAAGTCCTAGGGAAGCATGGAAGAGCTGTATTCGTATCCACAAAGGCAGCTGAAGAGAGTTAGGTACTTTTCACATAAGGCTAATCTGTGAATTTTGACTGTTTCACAAATCTCCCTGATCTTTAAGCCCCGGTCTATGATTCTTCTTTCTTCCCACATAAAGTAGGATGACCAGAATATAGAATTACAACTGCCGGGGCAGCTTAAAACAGCAGACTTTGAATAGATCTGAGCATGTAAGACCCAGGCATTCTGGTCTCAAGGACAAGAAGAGGGAGGGATGTCTTAAGGAAATGACCCCCTGCCCAATTTGTAGCCCATCCAGATGTGCTGATGTGTAGTTGTTTTTATTGGATGCTGTACCACTCTTCCTCCAGCAGCGCCCCCCAACCCCCACAGCTGCACTTTGCTGCTCCTTCCTCTCCCATTGGTAGTGGACCGAGTGGTTCCTGGTAGCCACCTAGCCATGCAGCTACCTCCGGGGACACATTTTAAGGAAATGTGAGAGGCCCGTCCACCTGGTTATTTCTGCTCTTTGCACATTGTAACTTACCCTTGGACTTGCAACTGAATCAGGGTTTGGGAAGTCCTTGTGATTCGGGAACTTGCACTTCCAGGGGGAGTATTCTCTTGGCATCTTCTTTGACTCTTAGTCCCTGATGAATTCCTAGCATTAATGAGTCCGTCAGAATTTGGGATGATAACACAAAGACACGTAAAAGTGTGGTTTCTAGGGTGTAAAATTCAAACCATTATGAGTTAGTCACATGATACTATAGGCTAAAGAAAATAAGAAATGTATAGTATGTTTGTAAGTTGATGTTGATTTGATATCTTTTTCAGCCTTCTCTCCAAATTAGTAGTGGGCATCAATGAACCGAGCCCACTAGATCCAGCGCTCTTGACTATTGCCTTTCACTTGGTATCTTTTCTGCTGAGTCCCTGGTAGGCTCAAGGCAAAGTGTTATTGCTTCAGTGGATAAAAATAAAATCAAGAAACTGACAGGTAGTAGAGGTAAGATAGATAAGTCACTGTAGTAATATAAGGACAACGTGAGTAGGTACCCAGAAAGTGTTATCAGAATGCTCCAGGGAGCTGCCATGGGGTTGAAGGAGGACACTGAAATCCTACATAGTTGGAGGGGATACTCAGAAAAAGGCTTCAGGGAGGTGGTTCACTTGAAGCACATCAGGCAGGATCTTACATGGTGGGGATGGGAAAGGGAAGGATTTGTGTGTGGTGATGACTGTTAAAGCGCCGGTAAGTACATAAGCTTCTAAAGTTCTATTCAATAGTGTCTGTGCATATATCTGTGTGTATGTGTCTATATATGGTGTGTGTCTAGGTACAGTCATATGTACATTTTATTTTATTTTTGTAAATATATTTGTATTGATTTTAGAGAGGAAGGGAGAGGGAGAAAGAGAGAGAAACATCAGTGATTAGAGAGAATCACTGATCGGCTGCCTCCTGTACACCCAACACTGGGGATCAAGCCCACAACCTGGGCATGTGCCCTGATCAGGAATCAAACCATGACCTCCTGGTTCATAGGTTGGCGCTTCACCACTGAGCCACACCAGCTGGGTTTTTAAAAAATAAAAAACCTTATATTCTCTTCAAAAATGAAAGACCAAAGATTTTAAGTAGAAGCATTGCCCAAACTCTGTTCTCTAGTTCTGAGAACAAGAATACCTCCGAGCAGTACTTCCTATTAATAGACATTCATGTTTATACTGGCCAGGTAGGAATGAGGTGTTTTTTGATTTTCTTTTGTCCAGGCATCTATGATTGGGGCTACTCCCTTTTTTTAAAAGTATGTTGAAACATTAGACTTCCTGTTTCTGCTTGATTTTGAAAATACCTCCTGCTCGCCTATCACAGGTAATCTCTGTGTTCTTGTGTAGCCGTGGTTTACAGGTAGCAAGTGCAGGCAGCAACCAGTCCCTCCTCACTGGGATGTGGAGATCTATCTGGAGTCACAATTAAAGGCTACCGAATGCATTCCACTACAGGTGACGAAACCCAGCTCCCAGAATAACAAGCAGGACAACTTTTAAAGTGACTGTTGTTGACCAGTGTCTTCTGTGCATTTGCGTGGTAAGCTCATGGTGGATTTTTCTAAAGGACGGTATAGATTTTTCTGAATTACTCTCGGGAAGGACGGACTCTTCCTGAGGTTGAGACAGATGCCATAGCATACAACAGGGTGGCTGTGTGCGTTCCTCCAGTTGGTGTGACTCTGCCAAGACTCTGTGAGGCTGTCCTGATTGACAGGGAGAAAATGCTGAAACTAGGTGAGTTAAAACTGCCCTCGCACTAACTTGGATTTAATGTGCATGACGGAACCTGGTAGAGAGTTCAGATGACTAAGTAGCCTGGTGTTATCTACAAGGGAATGACTTTTGGTGGCAGCTTTAAAGTGATTGTGTTCAACAAATCATGGCTTTTCTTTTGCTGTGACTCTGGGTGTGGAGAACTGGTATTAAGTAAGCTGAGGGAGGTTTGACTATTGTGGGTGGAAAAAAATGGCATCTATAATTTGCATGTAGACAGTTTCATTTGTAGACAAATGAAGACTTGAGATGTTTCAGAGATGGGGCTCTGAAAAGATTGGATAGCTTTTTCACTTAAAGTTTCTTCTTTTTTTATAATTTCCACAAGTTTATTAACTCTAAGGCATCTCCGGTTGCCAGTGGTCTGGTAGTGGCAGTAGCGCCATGTGATGGCCTGCAAACTCAAGGATGTTTATTTCTGTTCTCCCATTGTGTAGATGTTTGTCAGACGATCCCTGCTACCATTTCCTCTAACAGCCAATAAGCAATTTTATTCTATATATAAGCCCTTCTTGTCTTTCAAAATACACCTTAGGCTTGTTTTCAGCCATATTGAATGCTTCTACAAGTATACTTAATTTTGTTAAGGCAAATTTGGAAAGTTTTTGAGGATTGAAATAAAGAGAGCATTTATACAATTTTTTCAAGTTTACGTATAATATTTATTGAAGTTTATCTAGAATTTTCCTGCTCAAAAAACTTTCTGGAGCTTAAATTGAATGTTAGAAAGGAACTGAAAGTGTGGAGACGTAGGTGGGCGTTAATAGATCTAGATTCTTGACTCATTAATTGAATGCTTGTCAGCTAAGGCTATTATTTCCTAGACCCATGACTTCTTCTGTGATACAGAATGTGGTCACCGGCACATCCTTTGTGTTCAATGTTCATTTGCCTACCAGATGCCTGGAGCTGTGCACGTGATTCTCTGTCAGCTTTCTCTCTATACGCATATAGGCATATTCTATCTGATATATAAAAATGGTTGTGTCTGTGACTGTATATCATGGCACATATGCAGTTGGGATCAGAGCCAAGTTTGGCTGGGAAGGTTTTATAGAAGAAGGGGATTTTGGGTAGGGTCCCAAAGGGAGAGGGAGTTATATACTTTGGCAGAAAGAAGAAGCATACATAAAGCTTCCAAGGCTGAAGTAAGTCAAACACATTCGGGAATAAGCATGAACCATTTCAGAGCAAGTGATACATTACTGGTTGAAGAAAGCCAGGCTGAATGTGAAAAGGTAAGGGGATGAGTGTGGGAGAGAACGGGGGTGGGGGTGGGGGGACTGTGGGAGCTTCTCTAGTCCATGTTGCTGGTACATGCCACCCTTGGATACCAGCACCCTGGCCATGTTGCCATCTAGTGGAACTGTCCCAGATGCACACGGGAGCATCACCCACCTCTTCTCACTTCAGGTCAAATTAATAGTGTGGTATTGGAGGTAGGGAAGCTTACTGCTCTTTCTGCCAAGGTATTTTAGATGAAGAATTAGCCAAAGGAGATGGATATAACCATGTTCTCCAAAATTATATTAATTTTGCCTTAGGGGAAAAATGGAGCTGAATACAAATAAATATATTTAGATATATAGAACACATTTATCAAATATAAATAATTCCCATACATAACAATTGCTGAGAGTGCAGGGCATACATGGCCCTTTGGCCCAGGGCATGGAGCGTGTGGAACCCAGCATTGGAGAAGTTCTGCAGTGGAGTGAAGGCATAGCCCATTTGGCTCTGGGGTGGCTTGTTATTTCATGTGGTTACAGAGTCCATCCTGGTACAGTGGTGGAAGAGGAGAGTCCTTGACATGGACCCCACAGCCCACAGACCTCAGAGCTGGAAGACACTGTAAAGAGCTGTACTTAGCCTGGCCGGTGTGGCTCAGCAGTTGAGCATCGACCCAGGAACTGGGAAGTCGTGGGTTCAATTCCCAGTCAGGGCACATGCCCGGGTTGTGGACTCAATCCCCAGTGAGGGGCATGCAAGAGTCAGCAAATCGATGATGTTCCTCTCTCATCGATGTTTCTATATCTCTATCTCTCTCCCTTCCTCTCTCTCTAAAAAATTCAACTTAAAAAAAACATAAACAAACAAAAAGAGCTATACCTGCCCTCCCTTCCACCCACCTATGCATGTGTCCATTCACCAAAACTTACTGAATTCCTGTTACCAGGTACTCTTCCAGGTACCAGGGAAATGCCAGTGAACAAAGCAGATAGAAGTCCCTGCCCTTGGAGAGACAACCTTCTGGATAATAAGCAAACAAATAAGTAGAACATTCAGAGGTAGAGCAGGGGAAGCTAGATCAAAGGAAAACTAAGCTAAGATTTATGTTAGCTACAGCTTTTAAAACAAGGTAATAAGGCTTTTCCTATGGCACACTTTTCTAGCTACCTCTGGCCTTTGGCACCTGTATCCTTGATTTTTCTTTTTTTACTAGAGGCCCAGTGCATGAAATTTGTCCATGGGGGTGGGCATCCCTCAGCCTGGCCTGCCCCCTCTAGCAATCTGGGACCCCTCGGACATCCCTTTCGCAATCTGGGACCACTGGCTCCTAACCGCTCACCTGCCTGCCTGATCGCCCCTAACCGCCTCTGCCTACCTGCCTGATTGCCCCGAACCACTATGCCTGCCTTCTTGATCACCTCTAACCACTCTGCTGCCTGCCTGAATACCCCTAACTGCTTGCCTGCCTGCCTGATCACCCCTAACTGCCTCTGCTTCAGCCCCCACCACAGTGGCTTCATCCAGAAGGACGTCCGGAATGATGTTCAGAAGGTCATTCAGCTGTCTAGTCTAATTAGCAAATTATGCTTTTATTATTATAGATATGTTCTGTATTTTTAAAATATATGGAAAAAAAATATATATGGTGGGATACTGTTAACGGAAAAGGAAGGACAAGATTTCTTTTAAGCTGAAAGGGGGATAGGATTGTTTTGTGTGTGTGTGCATGGGGGGGTGCGGGGAGGATTTGCTATCGTGTGTCCTCACTGAGAATGTGCTATTAGACTCATCTGAAAGATATGAGGAAGCCAGGCCTGTGAGTATCGTGGGGAAGAACATTCTGGGCAGGGGGAAAACAGATGCAAAGGCCCTGAGGTGGGAATGGGTGTGGTATTCCAAGAAAGGCCAAGGGGCTGATACGAGGAGGGGAGATGATCCAGACAGGTGGTGAGGAACCAGAATAGGTGGCGCCTTGTGGACAGTTATAATGAATTAACTTTTACTGGGCAGAAGATGGTCTAGTGTAATCTACTAATTTTACAAATGAAATGTAGGACAACGAAGAAGTCAAGACAGGTGTCCATGGTTATTCAGCGTCCTAGTGCCAGAGCTGGGATGAGAACCTGCCTCTGACCCCAGCATTCTTCCCACCACCCTGCTGCTTGCTGGGACGTGGGCCACACACTGGCCCAGACTTCCAGGTGCAGTGACTCCTCCAGCAGCTGTTGCAGCGGTTCATTCTGGTTGTTCCCCAGTGTGTCCTGCCTACCTTACAGAGGACCCGCTGCAAACACAAGAAAGGGTCAGACCTCTCATGTCCGAGGAGTCCCCTGCCAAATATTGCCTTTCTTTGTTTTGATCTGGAGATTAATCCTTCTGTTTTCTAAATACTATAATCTCATAAACCAGAATCTACAATCTTCTAAGCCTCCCTACGTTCATTGCTAAGTTACTTGGACACAGTTAACACAAGATAAGAGTGACTGATTGTTATCAAATGCAGTTTGACCTGGACAATTTTTGCTCAACATTCTTTGTCTTCTTGCTTTACTGTGAGTCAGTTCAAGCCTTTGTTTTTCTTCCATTCCTTTAAATCTTATGACTGTTGTCCTCTGGACACAGGCCAAATCTTCTAATTTCACTTTCTGTTGAAGGTCGGACTAGTGCTAAGTATAGAGAAAAATAACTCTTTGCTGTTACCTGAGTCATCCCCTCGCCTCTAGTCACCCATGGCCTGTACTCTGTGGACAGAGTAACACGCGGTATTTGTGTAAGGTCGTCCCATCTTGTGGAGAGAACTAAGGCATCCCTGACTCTCTTGCCTCTTCTGTCCCTTTTTCCCATTATGGATACCTCAAGATTTACATTAGCATCTTAATTTGCATTTAGAATTGTATAGCCCTTTTTCTGTGTTTTTTTTTTTTTTAATGTTCACTTGTATACATTGTCTGTAAATGAGCTCTCAAATCCTGGGGTTAACATTGATTGGCGTCCTTTGGTATCAGTACTTCCAGTAGTTAGTTCTTCATCTACCCCTAGAGCATGAGGGCGAAGACCCCCACCGTCCTTTGCTTGTGGTCTTTGGGAGAGTTGTCCTCGCTGGCTTTGGGGAGAGCCTGAGGAGGAGTGCTTGCGGGGGGGGGGGGGGGGGGGGGGGATTCTGTGATCAAAACTCAGGACAACAAAGTAAATGCAGAAATGCAGGTGTTTACCTGGGGGTTGCTACCAGCAGCAAGGAGGCCTTAAGAAAACTTTCTTCATTTCCAGCTTATGAACAAGTGTTTGCTACATGTGGGTGGTGGACCCCGAGAGTGTTCAGTTATAGGTGCCTGCAAAGACAGCCTAATTAAAATGCCGACCGATTTCCCCAGCTTCCAGCTTCCAGAAAGTCATTCTGTTGGAATTCAATGTTTTGGCTGTAAGACTGCTGAGTGGAAGTGCAGGAATGCAGTGAGCTGTGCACTGGGTGCCTTCCTCAAAGCAGCCCCAGGTGGACTTCAGCATCTCCTAAGGCAAAAAGCTGGCCTGACCCTAATAGCCCAGTGCTGCCTGTTCCTACTTAATAAGTTCCTACCCTTCACAAATGTGACCCTGAGCGCCTTACCACACACCCTTGGTTCTTGGGACAAATCCCAGGGCAGGCTTGACCTGGCTCCTGGCTCCTGGCTCCACATTAGTCTGGAGCTTTTGCACATCTTTGCCTACCTTACAAGTCTTGCCCTGCCTCCTGT